GACTTTTTGGTATCAGAATTAGAGCAACAAATGGAGTGATGGTGTTCGTGTGGTGCATGCATTGAGCCATCTGGGATGTACTCATCGTGAGGGCCAAAATTTACAGCTTCACCATGAAGCATAATGATTCTTGGAAACGCCTTCACAACTAGAATTAAAATTGCAAACGTGTCTTCACGGGAGTAAGAATTTTGGCGAAAGGTGGAAGAACTAGGAAATCTTGTCAGAAATTCCCTTTCTGAAAACATTTCTACAAGTCTAGGGTCTTTATAGAAATAGACTCTACTCCTCAGGGTAGAGATAACGTCTGTGTACATTCTACCCCCCTGACCGTACTTTGCTTGGGATTCACTCCGTTTGTTTGGTTTGGCTTGGCTTTGAAAGAACTAGGAAACATTTCATCTTCCATTTACCACCATAATTGGTTAAAATGTTATGCTATCTCAAACGATTATAGACTAGTAAAGATGTGGCTACATTGTAAGAACCCTGTTCATTGTTTGGAGGCTTTCGGAAAATACTCAAAATCAAGATGGATCCTTCAAACTTCTGGATTGTCAGATACCCCTTTCAAAAAACCGAAGCTTGCACCCTTACAGGTCCCTCTTTATCCCTATTCCTTGTGGATTAGTCCAATAGCTTTTCAACTGCCTTCGTAGCATCTATCTTTATTATGCCATTTAACATTATTTTGTACTTTCTGCTGTTGAAGGAGCGTAGAATGATAGATCGTCACAGGCTGTGGGCTAAAGGAGGAGATGGTGGCAATGGTTGCTTCAGCTTCCACCGTAGTCGACATGACCGCCGTGGTAGACCTGATGGTGAGCAATTATGTCGATAGTATTCTAATGACAAAAATGTATTATTCATCTCTCCATGCATAATCAGTAACCAATCATCTTGATCCAATTGATTGTTGTGTTCTTTTTGTCTGTTTGATAGATGTATGATTGATCGATCACAATAACCTTTTTTATTACCACGATTGTCTGGGCCAGCTTGCCCACACCTCAACTATCCCATGGGACCCCGAAGTTAAGAAGTTAACTGCCGAGAAAACCTCTAGTGCCCCTAAGGGTGTGTTTGGTATGCAAACGAGAGTGAGGTAGGCGGTGAAAGAATTCTGGATGGTTGTAGGGTTTTACTTTGCTATGGCAGATTTGTAATTTACCAATCTTGTTCCATCTCCCTTATTTTTTTTCCACCTATTTCGATGGGACAGAAAAAAATGCATTTTTGTCCCTCTCAGCATCTGAAAAGAATGCATATTTGTCCCCATCAGGTCATTACCTGTCCCAATCTAATGTCGTGCTGCACATAGAACAAGTTTTTGTACTGTCATGTCCCGCATACCAAATGCACCTTAAGGGAAGGTTTTATTGGTTGAGTTACTCTCAGGATTCATAACTTGGTAAAATTGTTTATGAAACTTAGCCTTTCTTAATCTGTGGTATGTAGGTGGCAATGGTGGAAGAGGCGGTGACGTGATACTAGAATGTTCCTCAACAGTTTGGGATTTGAGCAGCCTGCAACATCATATTGTTCGTTATTATTTTTCATGTTAATTATCTACCCGCATTTCTGCTTAAATCATGTCTCACCGATACATGAACTCACACATATCATTTGTAGTTTGGAGTAACGAGTATTGTATTTTGCAGAACGCAAAGAGAGGTGGGCATGGAGCTTCAAAAAATAAGATAGGAAGCCGAGGAGATGACAAGGTCTAGTTCAATTGCATACTTTTCCGTGGCATTTTTTCAATAAAATAAATAATATTAATCCCTCTGTCCCAAAATAAGTGCCTACTTTGCAATTCTGCTCTTAATTATGAGATGGAGAAGTTCGTAACTCTCTATAAGGGTAAAATCATCATTTAGTTAATTAAAATGTGTAATAATTACACATGTCTAAAATTGTGTAGGACATTTATTTTGGCACAAAGGGAGTAATCTTTTTTCAATCCTTGGTATTTTCTTTCTTCTTTCCTTTTTKCTCATATGCTTTTGCATGGGTCTTCGCCTCACGGAAACGGTTGCTCTATCCTTTTGGGTAAAGGACAGGTCTGCTTACATCCCAACCACCAGACCCCAATTTCGAGTGRAATATACTGTGTTTGTTTGGTTGATTATATAATATTGATATTTTTCATCACCAACTTCTTGTCGAATAGGTGGTTCTGGTACCCATTGGTACTGTTCTTCATCTAGTTGAGGGTGACCCACCTTCTGTGGTACGAAAGGGCTCGTCTGCAGCTTTAAACCCTTGGGAGATCGGGGGAACCCTCGAGTTTAATCAACATGGCACGGGTCTGCAACCCACCTCCTCCAAAGACGCTACTTCTAACAAGAACAGTGAAAGCTTCACTAAGGACAAGAAAACATCTATGAGTAATTCTTTTCCACAACTTCCACAACCATCTAAGAAGTCCAATGTCGATTTGGAAGGATTCAACTTCTGGGAAGAAAAAAAGATGAGTTCGTGGGAAGCTCGAGTGACTGGCACTGGTGTGTCCGAATCAGAACCCGAGGATGAAC